TGTTGAGTTGTAGAAAGGTTTCAGACTCATTTTGCCCGAGTTCCGTTATGATTGTGTGCTTCAGGCTTTGCCTGCGTACGGCCAGAGAGGACGCCAGCGCCACTCACACGCTGGCGCAGGGTAGTTAACACAAGCTCACCCGGTGGTCGAGGGTTGGCTAGGACTGATGTAAAACGTGGGGTGTGACGCACAATTGTCCGATGCCCAAGCAACACCGGATATGATTGGATGGGTTTTGCCTCTTCGCTCCTCAAATGAATGGTAAGTTTTAGTCGTCCTTTTCTTAAGGGAAGCCATGTAAAGTCGCTCATTGTTTAGCCCCGGACAACCCGTTCCATGCAGATCTGGAACCTTCAGTTCCGGACTACTGTGGTGTGATATTAGTCCTTAGGCGTAGCGAATCCCACGCTATGCCTATGTCGTTGGTATCTCGGCGATCGAGGTACTTACTGCCATGCTGACGGGAATGTTCTGTGTTTCAAGATCAAAGCTAGCGTCAGATATGCCCGAAATAAGGTCACTTAAAACTGTTGATGTACTTTAAGCGGAAAGACTACTCTAGACCACGCAGTATCTCTATGTAGCGAATGTATTTCTCAATACGTCACTTTTTATTGCGTCATGGAGCGTTTGATGTTGAGGTGCTGCCAAATTGTCCGTGCGAAATTAGCATCCTAACACTCATTTGTAGTACGGAGTCTCCAAAGAGGTGGCCGCGGCGATGCCAGAGGTGTTTGCTAAACCAGATATCGTTATTTGCTCGTGTTTTAGCCCCTTCTCGTGATGTTCCTGCGTACTTACCCGTAAGTTTAAGGTGTTGAGTTGCATTCACGTGCTCGGTTTTGGCGCTTTTCTGAAGTTGGTTGACTACAGGTATCCGTAACTGTAAGATGTTGACTGGTAGTAAAACATTCACATATGTCATTCTCAGTTATTCAATTACAAGTCATATTTCTGTACCAACTAGGGAGGGTGTCCAACTTCTTGTATCTTGTAGCAATAAACATTATTTGTGATTGAAACTTGCACAGCCTGCACAGTATTATTGAGAGCCAGTTGCGTCCGTCATGTCTTGAAATCGTACTCACGAACGTCAGATGTGAGAAACCCGTCTATCTCATTCTCTGTGGTCTTGAACGCCGCGTGGCCAATGGGGCGGCAGGATGGGAATGACATGCTATGACGTCAGGCCCAAAGAACGTTGAAATAGTGGCACGATACGGTCGGCACATCTTAACGGGCGTGCAGCTCAAAAACTAGTGGGTTTTAGGTTTTACGGAGGGCAGGGTTGTAAACTGCAACGAATTATCTTCAAAATGGTTAGTGCAGTTATGTGTTGAGTGCTCCCCATGCAAATGAGGAGCACTCGCTTTAATCCAGACAACTGACCACGCCTGTCCGGAGACATTATCGAACGTCGCGTGAATGATTAATTTCAGCGGCATACATTACTACAAAGTCACAGTGTGGGGAAAAGCCACCACCGTTGAATGCGGCGCCAATTGCACGCACTGTATCGTGCCCACAGTTTTGTAGATAGAGGATTGAACGTTTCAGTGCAGCACGGTTTTGAAGTGGATGTGGCCGCCTGTGCGATGGCGCGCAGCCGGCGAGCGACGTCCTGCGGCGGCGGCCTAGAGCTGGGCTCGGCGTGGGACTCAGCGCAGCAGGCTCGCAGCAGCGGCGGAGAGCTGGGCCCGGTGTGGGACTCAGTGCGGCGGGCTCGCGGCAGCGGCCGAGAGCTGGGCTCGGTGTGGGACTCAGCGCAGCGGGCTCGCGGCAGCGGCCGAGAGCTGGGCTCGGCGTGGGACTCAGCGCGTGCGGCAGCGGCCGAGAGCTGGGCTCGGCGTAGAACTCAGCGCTGCAGGCTCGCAGCAGCGACCGAGAGCTGGGCTCGGTGTGGGACTCAGCGCAGCAGGCTCGCGGCGGCGGCCGAGAGCTGGGCTCGACGTGGGACTCAGCGCGTGCGGCAGCGGCCGAGAGCTGGGCTCGGCGTGGGACTCAGTGCGGCAGGCTCGCGGCAGCGGCCGAGAGCTGGGCTTGGCGTGGGACTCAGCGCGGCAGGCACCCAGATATCTTCCCACATTTCAAGCAAAGCGAAAGCGAAAGGTAGCACAGTGCACCTTTTATCGAGCGAGAGGTAGCGCGGTCTTTCGTTGGCCATGTATGCTCCCATTATATGTGATCGAAATATATGGCCGGCCGCAGCGGCTGGGTATAGGAAGCTGGAGTGTCATGCATCTGAGGTGTTCAGGCTCGCGGCCGTGGACCCGTACCATTTTGCCGTGAGATGTCAGCCAGGAGGCCGCGTCCCCGGGCGCTGGCGGCCGTTTGCCACGAGAACTGCGTGAAAGTTGGCGTCCGGGGCCGGCGGCTGCAGGTGGCAGGGCGTGCGCGGCTCCCACGGTCGGCAGCGTAACGGGCGGAGGCCAGCGGGCCGCGTCCCCGCCCGCCTGCCGACCCGACCCGACCCGACCCGACCCGACCCGACCCGAGCAGAAAGTTAGACGGACGGCTAGCCGGAAACTGGATCGTCTGGTGTATGGCGTGGCCCGCGGGCGATGCGTCCGCTCGTGGTTGGTGGCACTAAGTCACGCTCATGTCATGTCGGCATACCACTGTGGAGCACTACCATGTAGCTCTGAGATGGGCCATGGCGGGCGCGTTTGCACGTGGCGTTCCATTAGGCCATGAAGTGAAAGCGGCAGACGCCTTGCTCATGTACGACTGACCGAGATATTGCTGGTAACGGAACTAACCTAACGAAGCTTTTCAAAAGCTGATCTCTTAGTGATCTCTTTTCGGAGAATGTTCTCCCTTAGTGATCTCCTTAAACGGCTGGGTGAAGCTTGCCATGGTACCATCTTGCCGAGCGTTCGCCGACATGCGGCGTGCAGCGGTCGCGCGCGCGCGCCGGCCCGCGCCGCGTGGACGCCGCCCGCGCCACTCAGCGGTGTTTTCTGCCGTACGCCGCCGCCGGCCGTGCCGCACCGATCCCCGACGAGTGGCCGCTCCCCCTGGCGGCCGCCGCGCGGTCCGTTGCGTCACTGGTGACGCCCGGCCGATCCCCTCGGAAGCATGGCGCGTGAGTCAGCTGCCGCCCTTGGTTGCCTTTCTATACCAGCTGGCGGCGGGGCGAGCGCGCGCCGCCGGCAGTCCGCTCCGTTGCGTGTGGCGCCTGGAGGACGCGCCGCGGCAACTGGCGGCCGGCGGGCGGCCGCCGGGAGGGGGCTCGCACCCGGCCGCTCGGCTCGGCATGGCTCGGCTCGGCTCGGCTCGGCGCGACGCGACGCTGCATGGCCTGCTCCGGCTACCAGACTGGCTTTCGCTGGAAATTCGTGACCATTGCCGTTCAACAAGGCACAAAGTCGAGTGCGTCGTCCTGTGTCTTAGGGACGCCATGAGGTCCGCTCGGAGTGGTGGAGTCTGTGAAAGTCTCGTAGGGCGCGAGTTGGCTCCACGGAGGGATTTATGCCATCAGTGCCTTGTGATAAATGTCTCGCTTTATCACAAGTAGCATGCCCTACGTTCCGACGCGAGCCACCTAACTGGTTCTTTGCTCAACTGGCGTGCCGATTTGAATGGCCGCTGTAGGTACTGAAGGGTCTGCGTCCTGGCTTCGCGCTGCAGTTTAAGTCAATGCGTAAATTGTGCCACTCAGTTCCGTGCATGATGATTTTAGAATTTTAGTTTTGATGCATTTCTCCGTGGGGGAACAGTGGTCTGCCACACAATGGTAAATGCTAGCATTTCCTTGTCCAAATCTGAAGAACTTCTAGGTTGTTCCTATGCGCTGTAGGTTAAATCATGGGCTCTAAACGCGTTTTTATCCATTTGCCCTTTCATCAGCGCCCGCGCCTTTGCAAGCTTTGGACTTGCTCATGCGCGTTACCCTCGTCAAAAAAGCGCAGTTTGTTGCGACAAATGTTGATTGGTTTTTGTTGGTTCAAGAACGTACTTCTCGATACCTTAACCGTACTACGATTACTTCTCGGTGTCCAGAATGGCGGATGTTTTGCGCTTTTGCCGGAATTTCCACGAAAAAGTGCTGTGAGGCCTGCACAGGAAGCGGAGCTCTGGTTGCGTGATCCAGATCCTGTGACCAGTTTCCTTGAGAGTGCCGTGCCTCCCTTCCCCCATGAGACGCGGACGGTTGTCTGGTTTCCATTCGCTGAGCGGCTGCGACATACGGCCGCTGCAGGTCTGCTGTGTTTTCTTACCAAGCCGGCGACCGGCGAGTCGACCGTGACGGAGCGTGGGAAAAAGGCGGCAGGTTTGTCCGTGTCCTTGCCGGTGTCCCAGTGCGCCGTCCATTGTGAGCGGGAGCCGGCGGCCGGCCGGCGCCGGACCGTGACGTCACGCAGAGCCCTGGTGACGGCGCCCACCTGACCGGCGCCCAGCCAGCCCCGCCCCGCTCCGCCGACCCGGTCTCCACACACCACCGGTCTCGCGCAGGTCATGCGGGGCTGGCTGGAGATAAATAATTTGAATCGTTTGGTGGGCTTTGCTGTTGTCGTGTTCTGGCACGAACCCGGTCTTACGCCCGGAAGCGCCTTTACCGAGTCAATGTCAACCCGGGGATTTACTTTTTAGGTTTGTGGTCAGGCAAGGTCTGGTGCATTGATGCCTTTTTTCAGTATCGGTTGCATGCCATCATGTATGTATGTGTCATGTCATGATGTCATGTCATGTATTAGTCATGTCATCATGTTTATCATCCCAATAAATGCCAACGATCGGGAGCTAAAGGGCAAATGTTATCCCACTCACGCCCTCAAATGCTTTGGCGCATGTAACGAAGCAGGTTATGTCCCACGTGGGTCGTAAGAAACTCTGATCCTGACTTGTGCACGTCATCCGCGTCTCATCTACGCTACTCCTGACATATTGCTATTGTCGGTGGCTGGTTGTTATCGCGGGGATTTTGCTGGGAGCCAACGCACCGTGTCGAGTTTGACTGCTGCCGCCATCAGCTAACGCGGGTGTTTCTCCCACTTCAGATCACACGCATCGAGTACACGCATTCGCGGAATCTGATCCACCGCGATGTCAAGCCCGACAACTTCCTCATGGGCCTGGGCAAGAAGGGCAACCTGGTCTACATCATCGACTTCGGCCTGGCAAAGCGGTTTATCAACGAGAGGACCCACATCCACATTCCGTACAGAGAGGACAAGAACTTGACAGGAACGGCACGCTACGCCTCCCTCAACACTCACATCGGCATCGGTTAGTTGCCACTTGCCTCAGGCCCGGGTGGACTTGCGTGAGACTGAAAATGGACCGCCTGGTGTCATTGAAGACCTCTGGCGGAAAAGTTTCCTCGCAGTACGCTTGGCTGTGTAGATGAAAAGTGGTCAGCACTCATTGAAAACAATTCTGGGGCCGGAAAACATTGGCCGCGCAAGATGTCATGTAGTGCAGGGTATGACGATCGTAAGGCGGGGATTTCATTGAAATTTGCCGAAAACAGATGGGGAAGGTAAGTTGGATTATGTATGCAAAGCTTCCGAAATGTTATGTTTCGCTCATGTACAGGTGTTTTTCAGTAAGCAGCAGTGTGCTTAATTCTCCCCACCGGTGGCGAATTCAAACGTTAAAACGGTAATATATATCCCCTCTTTAATATCTGGCAAACCAGTTGTATCACGTATGCCACATCGTTGTAAGGATATCCACTGAAGACTGTCCGTGTTTCCTGCAGAGCAAAGTCGAAGGGACGACATGGAGTCACTGGGCTACGTGCTCATGTACTTCAACCGAGGCTCGCTGCCGTGGCAGGGCCTCAAGGCCAACACCAAGCGGCAAAAGTACGAGAAAATCAGCGAGAAGAAACTCACCGTGCCCATCGAAGAGCTCTGCAAGGGGTTCCCAGGTACGGCGGTTGTAGTCCAGCTGTGGGAAGAGAACCTCGCGGGCGTCAGGGTGTCTAATTTCTGTGATTATTCTATTCATTGTGCCCGATTTGCTCCAGTTGCGGGTCGATGCAAGGACTGCCACTCGTTGGGTAAAAGCTTGGGTAGAAGAATGGCTAGAAGTGGTTCAGAGTGACTACACGTGGCACCTGTGTCGTTCAGGCAATCGAGTCGTTTGTGACCTGTTCTAGCTCTGTAAAGACAGATCGGTCTCGTGTGCATGCCGTTCCAGTCCCGTCATACGAGGAGTTGGAGTTACGCTCAAAGTTGTGGCGTTATTGATTTACCTTTCAACGCTACATTATATCGTGACTGTTATCCACCTGCGCCAGAAGGTTTGACACGAATGCAATGCCCCTGTTTGGTGTTTGGCGCTATAACCGTCGATTTCCTTTGAACCTTGTTTTGCACCAGACTGGGTTTGTTCTCAGAATACGTGACGGGATGTATTAAACTTTGTGCTATCCTTGTTAGCATAAAACTTTTTTTCCCATAGTTTTTTGTGGGGTCGGGGTTGAATGGGATATAATCGTTTTGGTTGCAATTAAAAAGTTACGGCAGGACAGTCCGCTCCAAGTCTGCGAAAAGGTGTTGTCAAAATCGGACATCAAATGCATCCTTCATCTACAAGTTGCGGCATAACATTTAAGCTGGATCTGGAGGGAAGCTAGGCTGGCGCATGCTGACGCCTCGTCGGATTTGTGCCGGTACAGTAACCTGAGTGACGGGGCCTCCAGGTGGCGCCGTTCCTGGCAGTGTGTGAGCGGAGGCCAGAACGTGGACAGGGCCCGCCGCACCGCCAGCGTTTGCGTTGGTCATGTGACAGGCTCCATGCTGGACTGTAGAGGACGTCGTGCGGTGCACCGGTGTTGGACCATACACTGTTTCAAAGTTGCAGCGGGGTATGCACGTTGTGCACCTTCCCTTTCTGTCCGACACCTGGTGACCTGGTCACGCTCACCGATCACGTCCGCCCGTCTGACCTGTGACGGCCCGCCGCCCTTTCTGTCCGACACCTGGTGACCCGGTCACGCTCACCGATCACGTCCGCCCGTCTGACCTGTGACGGCCCGCCGCCCCTGACTGTCCGACACCTGGTGACCCGGTCACGCCCACCGGTCACGTCCGCCCGTCTGACCTGTGACGGCCCGCCGCCGCTGCCGCAGGAGAGTTCACCGCCTACCTGAAGTGCTGTCGTGCCCTGTCTTTCGACGGCCGGCCGGACTACTCGTTCCTGCGCCAGCTCTTCCGCACCGTGTTCCACCGGGAAGGCTTCACCTACGACTACGTCTTCGACTGGAACATGCTCAAATTTGTGAGTAGTAGCGCATTTATCGTGTCAATTTATTGTCGTGCTGTATGCCGTTTTTCACCAAGACCGTTGGGATTTTCTAGAGAACAGCATACATCAGCGTTCACGCGATGTTTTTTTGTGCCTCTTCAGCGTCTCAGTCGACGTGGCTATAATACTATTGAGTTTCTTTGGTTCGCCTGCTGCCCATTTCAGCCAAAACCAAACTGTGAGCGTTTTTTGAGCTGCATAAGCCGTCGTTTAAGCATACAGGTACAGCCGTCGGGATCCGTTCGCTGCCGCGGTGTGCTGTCCGCTGTGCTGTGGCTGTTTGGGCCGCACAGCAGTCGTTCTGCGGCGATGGCCTGGGTGGCCGCTGTGCGCGGCTGTGTGGCCGCGCAGCAGTCGTTCTGTGGCGATGGCCTGGGTGGCCGCTGTGCTGTGGCTGCGGAGTCGGTGCGCCGGGCCGTCCTTGAGCTGACGTTGTCGGGTGTGGACAGGGCGGCTCGAAGAAGACCGAGAGTGAGGAGCGCGACCGGCGCCACCGGAGCGGCCACGCCGGCGCGCACCGGCTGGCCGGCGCGTCGCCGGCGCCCGCACCAGCCGCCCTGGGTGAGTCCGCCGCCGCCGCTGCCGCCGCCCGCCGATCCCGCTCCTCTCGTCCGCCGCTCCCACTGGACCGCCCTCCGCCTGAACCACCGCCCGAACACTGCCCGAACACCGCCCGAACACGGCCCGAACATCCGGGCTGAGCCGCCGACTCGAGCTACCGACGCGAGCTGCCGACTCGGCCGCCGCCGCACACTGGTGGCGAGAGAGAAACGGAGAACCAAAGACGGACTCATTAGAGAAGGAGTGGGGTGCCGCCGTGAGCGCCGCCCACCCAGCCGCACATCTGCCACGGGCCGCTTTTACCGCCCGCTAATCGATGTAACCGTAAATCGCCGATGCTGCGACTGGTGACACATGGTCTGAAAATACAAATCAACCACGTATACCTCTGTTCTTTTCCTGCTGTCCTGTCATGCCTTCCGTAGGCTACCCGCGCCTCCCTAAATGCTGGTTTTGCCCCCAAACGAAGGGCTTGATTCTCGTGACATGCCCCACCTGTTTCGACTCGTGAGATCGTGCTGTGCGTGGTCCGAGGCCTCTCGAGTGCGCGCTGTAAAGTGCACCGCTCACCTCCGCTCCCCTCGGGCGATCTCGGCCCTGGACGGCCGGGCATCTGGTGCCGCTCTGGAGGACTGGCCACGTCAGCACTCTGCCAGCCGTCGCGCGTGCTGATACTGTCCCCTGGCCTTGTCAACACCTGGGGCGCCTGGCGCCACGCCCGCCCCGGACGGCCCCAGCTCCGGACCCGTCCGGGTGGTCTCCTTGCACCTGACGCCTGTTCTGTCCGTGGCGCCACGCCCGCCCCGGACGGCCCCAGCTCCGGACCCCGTCCGGGTGGTCTCCTTGCACCTGGCGCCTGTACTGTCCGTGACGCCTGCCCGCTCCTGGCGGCCCCGTCATCCGTCCTGCCGCCGACGGCCCCAGCTCCGGACTCCGTCCCTGTGGTCTCCTCGTACTTGACGCCTGTACTGTCCGTGACGCCTGCCCGCTCCTGGCGGTCCCATCCGTCCTGCCGCCGACGCTCCCGAGCGGCCCGCGTCGCCGAGCCGGGCCGGCCGTGTAGCGCCGCGCCGCGGAGGACCAGCGGCGCTCCTGACGGCTGAGGGCCGCTGGCGAGCCGACCGACCGGCCGCGGCGTCTGCGTGAGTACCGGCGCCGCCGCCCGCCCGCTGTCGCCCACTAACGCGCGACGAGCCCGGCCAGGCCCGCGTCCGTCGGCCACGCACGCGCGCGCCGCGCCGCGGACGTCCCCGCGCGCCGCGCCGTGGACGTCCCCGCGCGCCGCGCCGCGGGCGTCCCAGCGCGCCGCGCCGCGGGCGTCCCAGCGCGCCGCGCCGTGGGCGTCCCCGCGCGCCGCGCCGTGGACGTCCCCGCGCGCCGCGCCGTGCGTCCCTGCGCGCCGCGCCGTGGGCGTCCCCGCGCCGCGCGCGTGGACGTCCCCGCGCGCCGCGCCGCGGGCGTCCCCGCGCGCCGCGCCGTGGGCGTCCCCGCGCGCCGCGCCGTGGACGTCCCCGCGCGCCGCGCCGTGGGCGTCCCCGCGCCCACAGCTGTGTGCGGGACTGCCGTGGCCGGACATGCAACCGAACGCATTTCTCCGGGTGGAAAACTTTGTTTTGCTGCATTATCGCAATCTAGATGCAGATTGAAATATGTTGTATCGTAAGACAGCGTGGGTATTACCCATCTGCGCAGAACTTGATATCATGCAAGCCTCATGAGAAATGCATGTATGTGCGGGAATTTCGTATGCTGAAATCTTTCTTTACGTTACGTTTGTTGCTGTTCAAATGACAACTCTTGGCAATGCGTTTGGATACCTACGTTTTTTACTACGTTTTTATATGCAAAAGAACTTTGTGAGCCATTTGCAGTTGCATTTTACAGGCCTTCCTACCGTATGGTAGCGCAGACTTATAGCCAAACGATTGTGATTAGAATATATATATATGCAATATATACTCGGTAGGCTGTTTTTGACTGCTCAACCTCACGGTTCAGAGCAGATTTTACTTGCAGAATGAGCCTCGAGACTTAGAGAAATATACTCAAACCTGAAGATGGCAGACTGAAAGAAACGGGTTCCACAGCTGCGAAGGCGTCGCGCAGTCGTTGGGCCTGGTTTGGCACCCCTCCTGGGTGGAGCCCTGGTGACGCCGCTGATAAACCGTACCGTATCAGAACATATCCTCGCGCACGATAAGCCCATCGTGCTCGAAGTCACCGTTTTGCTGAAGGGGCATGCATTTGGTGCACAGGGTGATATTCTAATGCCTCTTCTTTTGATGAAGGGGCGTGCATTTGCCGCACAAGGTTATGTGCTAAGGTCCCTTCCTCAGTCCAGCTATCGCACCACCCGGATTTTCCGGAGCAGGACAGTTTGATGCCAGATTTGTGAAGCGCGGAATGTCGATGTACCATGACGAGCGGCATAAATGTCATTTCGGTGTGCGACCGTAATGGCTATATTTATTGGCTTTATCGGCTATTTTTAATATATATGGTGTGATCATCTATACACCGTCACGGCTTGGTAGAAATACTTTAAGTGTGTCAGCATAAATTTGGTTACCAACCGATGCATATGTGTTTAAGTGCACACGGAATCAGCAGTACGCACACACGCTAACTTCGGAGATTGCC